GGTCATAAGTTTCTAGGACCTGTAAAATATAACTTAGAAAACTTTATTTTTACCAATTCAACAACCCGGTTCACAAGATCGGTTCGTGTAGTGGGAATAGCTAACCAACTACTCCTTAACTGGATAGTATTATGTATTAATATCGACAGCCACTTAAGTTTAAATAACCGAGGTAGGCGAGTTGCACTATTTATAATATCGGTTTCAATTTTCTCATTTTTAAGTAAGCACTCAATATTATTCAAATATGAAATATTCTAAAACAAACAAAAAATAAAAAATTTAATTTTTATTAATATTTGAAATGTTTTATTTTACATACCCTTTTAGTCATCGTTTTGTTTGATTTTACATCTCTTTTGTTTTGTTTACATAGTTTCTGTTTTTTTGTCGGTTTAACCTCGTTTTTCATCATTTCATTATTATAATCATTCTGGAAATTAAACACATTTTTTTTTTTTTATCAATTTAAAATCTTGTTAAAATAATATATACACTGTATTTAATTACATATGTAGGTATAATACCAAAACCAACATAATTTAGTATTAATATACCAACAAATAAAACTTAATATATAATATAAAAAAATGATTTTGTAAATGAAGAAAATAAAATGTTTTGTACTCACATCGCTTGTAACCATAGATTCTTCTTCACCGCTCAAATATGAATTTGTAAATGACATTTTTTTAATAATTTAGATATAGCTTTTAAAACGTATACAACTTATAGCTAAACTACGTTGTGGTTAGCTAGGTAATTGATGTGTGACTGATGTACTTTAAACTCTAGCTGTGGTATACTATTTCGGTGTTGGTAAAATTATATTTGTCTTGGTGGTGATGGTAATAGTACGCTCGAATAAATTGTGTTGACACCGCTGTGACACAATTAAAATTTTTGCTACACTATATAGTTCCATTTTTATCAAAATTAATATCAATGATGCTTCGAAATATAACCGACAGTAATTATTGTTAAAAAGGTAGTATCAACACTGTTCGAACCCTACTCCGCTAATTATAATGTTTAGAATATACTACCCTTTCTTAATTAATTTCGCACATAACATAGTCATGCTAATTTCAGCGTTACGATGAGACCCTGAGGAGTACGGATTACTATGCATCATATATTATTTCGCACACAATTTAATCAGGATGATCTCAGCGTTGCAATGAGACCCTGGGAGAACGGATGTACTACACATCATATATTATTTTTCAAAACAATATAGTTAGGATGATCTCAGAGTTACAACGAGACCCTGGGAGAGTAATAGTTATTATCAGAGGGGCTAGATAGAGAGTACATATAGTAGAGTCAAGACATATTCAGTTGTAGCAGAACCGTTAATACTAGAAGGAGTCCCACCATAGACACACAGGAAAAAATTTGAAGCCTCGCCATATACAGATACCCGGAAAAAAGTTTAAGTTTTTTTCAAATAATTCAACTTTACAAAAAAAAAAAAAAAACAATGTAAGTACATATTATTATCATACTGTAGATATTCGAATTGTTTTATGTACAATTAGTATATAATAACAATATATTATTTTATTCTATTAGTTAAATAAAGTATATCTATGTACCGTAATACAAATAATAATTTTTGAAGATTAAATAAAAACTTGTACTGTAATACAAATTACTGTTAATAAAACTTTCTATTTTAAATATATTATCATAAGTAAAAATAATACATAATATATTTAATTTATAAAGTTTTTTAATAATTTAAATATATTTTAAACGTAAAGGTTAGGGTGTAATTTTCGAATAAATGTTAGAACGTGTTAGTTGATTAGTTTTTATCATTATTCGAAAGCTACGTCGGTTTATACATTTTTTTTTTTGACTTCGTTGTGATAATTTATTTCTTTGAATACATGATTAATTTTATATAGATATAATATTTACTTAAACATTTATATTAAATTATTATTTTTTTTAAATATAAAAAAATAAGATGTATTCTAATGCAAGATCTATTTTTTATTTTTGAATAATTTGAATAAAATATTTACTATTTACAGTTTCAAAAAAAACATAAGGATACCTATATGGCTATATAGGAACACTGTTGACAGAAAAAAAAGTTCAAGGGTTTTTCAAATATTTCAACTTCGTAAAAAACAATGTAAGTACATATTATAATACGTATAGAATTAATACATGATAAGTTAGTGAAGTTATATTTCATAGTAAATGAATGTGTAAATTTATTCAGATATTTAGTTATATATATATATATATATATTTTAGGTACTGATATTTAAAAGTATTCTTGTTTATGGTATATGATTTAAAACGCTAGAAACATAGTTATCAATAGGTTAATGAATGTGCTCTAATATAGGATATGGTATTAATCTAATTTAATGTTTTTACAATTACTTTTTACTAAACTTAATTAGTTATTTAAATTTTTTTATAAATTTTTAATAAATCTATTTTTTTAAATTACAGTATGCCTTCAATTGTTTCAAACAACTTACGGGATAGAGCAATCAAAGACGTTCTAGACTTCTATCGTTCTAACCCTGAAATCAGTGTTAGGTTTTTTGGTGATTACTATCCATTTCTTGTAAGGGACCATGTATTGAATATTTTTACCGATCCACTTGGGAATTATACATTAGTTGAACTGTGTGTACAAAATGTAGTGGATCAAAAGTAGTGTAGCAGTATTTGTTTTCATATTGAATCCGATGGTCATACGTTTCAAACTTACCAGTTTGTTAGATTTAATGATATACAATCGTTTCGTGATTATTCTAGAACTACTATGTGTATGTATTGTCATCGATACTTAACAAAAGCCGTTGTATTAGAATGTAACCCGTTCCCGTTGGTACTGACATCGTATCGGTACCTGAATCATATTCATCAAGTTTTGTTTTAGAAACGATGAAAAATATATCCCATCGATAAAACAAAAACTATATTCATGTAATCATATTATATTTTTAATGTTTTAAGGTTATTATAATATAAGTACAACTACTTTCTTATTCTACATTAGTTATTATTATAAACTTTTTTTACATTGTTAACCATGTATACAGATATAGAAATGTAGTATATAGTAATATATACCTACAAGTATAATGACCACCATATTTATAATATATGTACAATTTCATGATTATTCTTGAACTATAACATGTATGTTTTGTCACCGTATCCACCGTATTATCATTGTATTACAATGTAACCCGTTCCCCGTTGGTACTGACATCGTATCGGTACCTGAATCATATTATTCATCATTTTTTTGTTTTAGAAATTATGAAAAATATATCCCATCGATAAAACAAAAACTATATTCGAGTAATCATATTATATTTTTAATGTTTTAAGGTTATTAAAAAAGTCATATTTAAAATGTAATCGCATATAATGAAAACTTTTTTCGTACAAAAATTGTTAGTATAATTGTATTATATATTATGTATTATATTACAATATGTTGTATAAATATTTAAGAATGTATAATATTTTGAAAAAACCGTATTGTTTTAAATGAATAGGTATTGTACGACAATATTGAAAGAGTAATATTTAAACTGAATGATTAATATTTTTCAGTTTCATAATGAAAAGAAATACAATCACTAAACACAAATGTATGGAATCTATCGGGAATGGACTGATTGAGATTGAACGATTTAAAAGCTGTTTAAAAACATTTATTATTCAGAACAAGAAAGAAATAATAAACTACGAAGTATTTTTTAGTCATATTTCTGATATGTTAATTTCAATGTTAAAAAAATCGAGTCAACAGTCTTCAATAAAATTTAATTGCATGTTGATAGTACGTATGAACGTTTAACAACACACGAAATACGAGACATGTCGTTTAAGACTTCAAATGTATTAGCATGTAATTCATCTGATTTTAATATTTTATTAAACACACTGTTTAACAAACTATTATATGAGGAAGCACAGTTTATTGCTAAAGGGTCTGGTTGGTCACTTAAATCAATAGATTGTATACAGTTACGAATTAATAAAGTTAATCCTCTTAAAGGAGGGAGTACATATTTAGATTTACCTATTCATATTAAAAAAAAAAGCGGTTATAAATATAAAAAATAACGATAACGAATGTTTCAAGTATTCAATACTAAGTAAGTATGATAATCGATTGAATAAATCTCGGTTTAACAAAAAATATTTTGATATGTTAGAAAAAAAAAGTGGGTTTAATTTTAAATGTATTGATTTTCCAACACCTATAAATCAGATAAAAAAATTGGAAAAAATAAACAATGTATCAATTAATATTTACAGCTTAGATGATAAAAATGTAATTTACCCATTACATATAACCAATATTGAAAAAAAAAATAATTTTGATCTATTTCTATTTGATAATCATAATACATCTCATTATTGTTATATTAACAACTTCTCAAGGTATATTAGAAGTCAAAAAACTAAAAATTGCTCAAAGTTGATTATATGTAAGAGATGTTTTACAATTTTTGGAAATAAGCCGTGTAAAAGCTAACTTTGGGGTGAAACAGGATTAATTAGACATAAAGAAATGTGTATTAAGAATAAATTTAGAAGACCTATAATGTTTGGAGAAGGAGATGACGATTTTATATATTTCAAAAATTATAAAAATACCCAACGAATCCCAATTGTTATATACGCTGATTTCGAATGAATTTCAAACCCTAAACAACCTGGTAAATTCATTCAAAACGATGGAAAACCTAAAACTTATAATACACATTTACATAAACTCATGAGTTACGGGTTTTATGTAAAAGTTGATTATAATATAATACCAAAAGAATTAATAGAAAAGTTTCAAATACCTAGAAAAGTAGTAATTTATAGAGGTAAAAATGCAGCATAAAAATTTATGAATAGTATGATTAATATAGGAAATAAAATTAATGATATTTATAAAACTAATTTACCAATTAACTTTAAAAGAAGAAAAACATTTTCAGAAGGTTAAGGCTTGTGAAAAATGTTTATTATCTTTTAAAGATAATAATTTGTTAAAAGTTCGAGATCACTGTCATATAACTGGAAATTACAGACGACGGATTTGTGTTAAATGTAATTTTCAGCTAACTAGTCCATCATTTGTACCAATCTTTTTTCATAATCTGACATATGACAGTCACTTCTTAATTCGAGAACTTGGGTGTAACGATAAAGATATTCATGTTATACCTAATTCATCTGAAAAATATATATCATTTAGTAAAGAAATCGCACCAAAATTTAGTATAAAGTTTGTTGACACATACCGTTTTATGGCTAAAAAATTAAGTAAACAAGCAAAAAATTCATCCGAAGATAAGTTGAGGTTTAGAGAAACTATTAAAGTATTAGATCTAGTTACTCGAAAAGGAGTCTTTCCGTATGAGTGTGTTGATAGTTGGAATAAACTAGATGATTCTTTTTTACCTTCAAAGCTTGAATTGTATAGCTCTTTAACCAATGAAAATATTACTGATGACGATTATATACATGCGAAAAATGTATGGAACTTGTTTAATATAAAGACATTGGGTGAATATAGCGATTATTATTTAAAAACTGATGTTGCTATACTAGCTGACGTGTTTGAAAATTTTAGAGACCTATGTTTATCTACTCTTGAGTTAGATCCTGCTCATTATATGACAGCTCCAGGATTTGCTTATGATTGTATGCTTAAATATACTAAGATCGAATTAGAAAGATTAAAATGTCCTAATATGCTTTTGTTTATCCAGAATTCAATTCGTGGTGGGATAACTCAATCAACTAAAAGGTTTGCTAAAGCAAATATACCAAATATTGAAGGATTGAATTATAATTCTAACGAACCGATTACATGGCTAACATATCTTGATTGTGTAAATTTATATGGAAAATCTATGTTGACAGAATTACCTTTTAAAGCTTTTGAATGTGTTGATGACTTAAACATAGACGTAACTAAAATTGCAGATGATTCTGAAGTTGGATACATATTAGAAGTTGATATCGACTACCCAAAACATTTACATAAGACTCATAATGATTTCCCGTTTTTACCATTGAACGAATGTCCACCAAATTCTAAAGTTAAGAAATTGTTAACTACACTATTACCGAAAAAAAACTATATTGTTCATTATAAAAATTTAAAAAAAGTGATTTCACACAGTCTTACACTTGTAAAAATTCATCGAGCTATTCGCTTTTCTCAAAAGAAATGGATGGCATCATACATTAAATTCTGTACTAAAATGAGAACAGAAGCTAAAAACGAGTTTGAAAAAGAATTCTGGAAGCTTTTAGTTAATAGTGTTTTTGGAAAGTGTATGGAGAATGTCCGAACAAGAACTTCTATAAAACTGGTTTCGTCAGAAAAAAAAGCTAATAAATTATTGGCAAAAACTAATTTTAAGGATAGAACTATATACTCTAAGAATCTTATGGCTATTTATCAACATAAGGAAACTATTAAATTCGATAAGGCAATTTATGTAGGATCTGCAATTTTAGACTTTTCGAAAACTTTTATGTATGATTTTCATTATAATGTAATTAAAAAGAAATATGGTAGAACAATTAGTTCTTTATATTCGGATACAGATTCCTTGAAATATGCTATTCAAACAGTAAATTTTTTCGATGATTTAAAAAATGATTTATTATCATATTTTGACACATCTAATTATCCTAAAGACCATTATTGCTTTAGTGAAATTCATAAAAGCCAACCAGGATTCTTCAAGGACGAACTTAAATCAATAATTCTTTAAGAATTCGTTTCATTGAGACCGAAATTATACGCTTATAAAACCATATGAAATTTATTGATTACATAGAGATATTAAATGCTTTTATTAACCATAGATCTGTTGAGAAAAAACAATCTCACAGAAACATGAATTTCATTCAATCGAATAAACATGTTCTTCATTCGAAAACAATGAACAAGCTTATTCTCAGTGCTAATGACGATAAAAGATATATAATGAATGATGGGATAAATACATTAGCTTATGGTCATTACAAAACGGACAAAATAATTTAATCAAAAACTAAATGATTTAACAATCGGTAAAAACAGCGTTATATAGCGGTATTATACAACAATATTATAATTATTATTATTTTTTTTTTTCATCGAATAAATTTACTTCTAGATAACTCTTTTTATTTAAATCGATTGTGGATACTTAAGTTATACTTAAGTTTTTAAAACAGGCTATGGAGTACCAGGAGAACATGTACAAATAATTAATTTGTCTTGATAAAAAAACCTATTTATTTTTTATTATTAATGTATTATACATAAAAAATTCTTATTTTAAAATATCTGATGATGTTATCCACGAATTCTGACTTGAATCAAAACCTAACCATTTGACAAGCATTTTATTCCCAACTTTTTTTATAATACGTTCAACGAGGAAGATGTCTGGAAAATCAGTTAATTTAATTTCTTGTTCATAAAATCCACCTAAGATTATATTGCCTGATCCATCTTTTAGTTGATAAGTTACTGGATTTGTCTGTACAACTTTTGAAACTGTAAATATTTCCGTTGTTCAATTTGGTGTATATCCTTTACTAAATATATGTTTATACTTGGATATTCTTACTTTGTCATTAACTTTAAATTTTGGTTTATATAATGTATCATTAAATTGTGTATTAAATTTAATTTTGTTTGGATCCATTCGAGCTTCATTCGGTGTACATTTGATTGTTCTATGTTTTGTATTATTATAATTTTGTATAATTTTTGATATTGTATTATACCAATTCCATATACCTGTTGCAGTAAAATGTTTATATATATTATTTTTCAGAGTTTGGATCACACGTTCGCAAATTGAACATTTGATAACACTGTATGAACTGTAATGTCTAATTTTATATTTTTTCATTAAATTTTTAAATTGAATATTATAAAATTCTGTACCATTATCTGTCTGTAACAATTTTGGATGAGCTTTTTTCAATATATTAAACATGCCTTTTGTACATTCCTTTGTTGTTTTATTTTTCAGTGGCTCCACCCACACATACTTACTATATGTATCTATGACAACTAAAATATACTTAAATCCACAATTTTGTCTAGAATGAGATTGCATATCCATTAAATCAGCTTGCCAGAGGTCATCAATATACCGTGTTGCCACACTACGTCTAGGAAATATTTTTCTCGCTGGCCGATGTAGCTCATTAGCTATACCTTCTAAGGTTGTCATTATACTATAATATCTCTCTCACGTAGTTCTTCTAAAATAGATATAATTTCATTATTAACACCAGTATTACCAACACTCTGTGATGATGTTAAAAGATGTAATCTAGTTACTAGTTCATTTGGATCGTCATAATAAACTAATTGTGTTTGCGGTATAACATCTTTATATAGACCAGAACCTTGCTTAGGCTGAGGTGTTGAAGTAAAATGGTTCTATGGTTGTATTATTATGAACGTTACTACGTTTGGCTCCTGAACTAGCCAAATGTTTGTTTAGGGGTGCCAAGTTAATTTGAGGAGTTTTAGAGGTATTAATTTTAGCTATTTCTTCGTTTAATTGTTTTTCCTCATATTTCATTCGTTCGTACAGCGGTTTTACAACATTCATCCATTTAAAGTATCCTGAGGTCTTGGGTTTCCCATCTGCCTTTAAATGAACATGTGTTGTTTTCAAAATATCATAATAAGATTCCATATCTTCTAGAGTGTGATTTTTTGGTTCCTTATCACATAATAAAGACCATAGTCCTTTTGTCCATCGGTAGTATCTATTAAGCAACTGTAAGTTACCATGGTTAAAAGTTACTGTGTGATCCCCTATTTTGTATGAATCACTATTTTTATCATAATACATACCATAGGATTTATCATAACGTTGTATTTTTGATCGTTTATAAAAGAAATTTACAAATGATGAATTTAATTCATCATTTTCTTCATCACTGGAGCATGAGGTTTCTGTATTTTTTTGTTCAGCCAGGTGTGAATTACATTGACTATTTTTTTTTATGTGTGTACTTAATGGTTCAATTATTGGTTTAAATGCTTCACGGAAATAGTTATCAGAATCTATAACACCACGTTTCATTTCCATTATTTTTCGTTTAATATTGTTTTTTGATGTTATCAAATTTTCTAACAAAACTTTTTCTTTGTTCATTGTAATAATAAATGTAATTTAACTGTATCGTATGACTACTGATAATACTATGTAGATAATAACAGTGCTACGGTGTATATATAGGTACATACAATTATTTTATTTTAATAAACGGATGGAAACCACATCTATATCTTCCTTCATTCATTTCCCGAGTTTTGTCGATAACCATAAATCCATAATCACTGTGATTCCAGCATAAGTGAGAAATTTTCCGAAATTCGGAGAAATCCATATCTGCAGACGAATGATTATTGAATATGTGTCGTAAATTTGTATCATCTTGTTTCAGTATCATTAAAAAGTTTGCGTTATCTCGTACTAACTGTTTTGATATTTTTGAATATGTTTGTGTTAAATAAAATACAGAGCTAGCACCTGAATGTCTACCAATACTGAAGTATTCTCTGATTACAGATTGCGGACCACATATCACATCATCAAAAATTATAATAGAATTTTTCTTAGTCAAATTCGGTTGTATGACCTTATCAGCGCTTGTAAATATGAAAAAATTAGCGCCTTGTATATCATCTATTATTTTTTTTAATAAAACATATTTTTTCTGATTTGAGGTTTTAGAGTATAAATAAATATTTTCGTATCTTAACCCGTTTTCGTGGGTGATCAGACTGTACATTATATTCGTGTTGGGTACACAACGATAATTCGAAAATTGCGCGGTCGTATGCGATATGCATATGTCGCAATGTTGTCACCCTGCTGCGCCGCCACCGAAACACTGTGCGAGTGAACTTTGTACCTCCGAAGAAGGGGACGGTACCGTCGCGGTCAAGCCGACGGCCGCCAGCACTCGCCGCTATACTCTTTGTCGTTTTTTTCGAGCCGTCTAGGCAAGTTCATGTTCATGTTGCGATCCGGTGCGCCGCCGCCGTTAAAACGCCATCTTGGTTATTTTGTTCCGTGCACCCGAGCCTCGCCGCTCTTTGACTCGTCGCGAACGCCCGTTTTCGCGTTAAGGTTGGGACACACATAACCGCACCGTACCCGATCCGCGTGTCGGCCGAGTACATATCTGAAGGAAATAAATTATTTTTATTTTTTAGGGTGTGTACAGGATACAAATGGAAAGTACTCAATTATTTTTGCTTCACAGTCACTCATAAATAATGCCCTTACTATGTGTAAGCGAGAGTTGCAGGTGGATGCTTCCTTTAGAATAGTTCCTTCAGAGCCAAAATCCTACCAACTTCTGACATTACACGGTATAATTGAAAACCATGTAAGTTATAAACAATCAATTTTTTATTAAATATCTAATATATATCTTAATATAATATTTTATTAAATATGTTAAATCATTTGTTTTTTTTAGAGTATACCATTAGTTTATGCTTTGATGGAATCGAAGAAAAAAAGTAGTTATCAAGCTGTGTTAAATTATGTAAAATCTGAACTTCTCCCAAACTTTAACCCCCGTAAATACTCACTGATTTTGAAACTAGCTTGAGTAAAACATTACAAGAACATTTTCCTTCTGCAAGACGGATTGGGTGCTGGTTTCATCATAACCAAGTAAATAAAAACGTTTTACATTACATTTAAAATTTACAGTAGCAAATTGTACGTTCTGAATAATATATTTAACTCTGTTAGGTAGTAAAAACATTAGCTAATGAATCTCTTGGGTCATTTTATATTTTAATTTTAAATTGAATTATGAAAACTGAAGATGTAAAAACAATTTAAAAATACTCATAACTCGCAAATTAAAATATAAAAAGACCAATGAGGTTTACTAGATAATAGTTTTACTTTTAAATTGAATGATAGGTTAATTCACTCTTACATTAATTATATCATAATTAAATAGATTATTTGGAATGTGCATTGATGTTATGCGTTTGTAAGACAGAGACAATGCATGTTGTGGGTGTAGCTTTCTCTAGTTCATCTTAATAGTTTTTTATTAACTGCCTAAATGTATATTTTAATAGTTATATAATTCTTCTTTTTAGGCAGTATGGAAAAAGATGAAAACTCTGGGTTATATAAATTTGGTGAATCAAAATCTACATGCCCTTAGTATAATAAGACAGATGATGGTACTACCCTTACTGCCTGGGGATACAATTAATCAAGGCTTAAGAATTATAAACAGATACGCACGAAGAAACAATATTAATATGAACCTACTATTCGATTATTATGAAAGGTAAATGGTACCCATTTAATAAAAAAAAAATATTTGTTTAAATTATGATACAAATAATCTATTAGGTTTTGGATTGGCAAAGTGGGATGTGATGTTTTATCCGTCCACAATCAACCTAGAAGAACAAACAATGATCTTGAATCCTTCCACAATAAGTTGCGATATTCTTTTGGAGTGGCGCATCCAAATCTGTGGATATTTCTTAGTCAGTATTTTTATTTTACTTTCGTTTATACAAATTTTTTTACGTTTTTTATATAAGTCACACTCATTTATATAAGTAAAAATTATATACTTTTGTTAAATTTTACAGACTAAACTTATATACCTATTCCCTCATAATGTACTATATTATATACATGTTCAGTGAGGTCCATTATCTTATTGGAGGATAAATGAAAATAAAAAAATAAAAATTATTGTT